TTACGGCCACATCACGTTAAAACACCAGTTCCCGTAAGATCACCGATGTTAAGCAAGGTTGAACCTAGTCAGTACCTAGATGGGTGACCGCCTGAAAATAACAGGTAAGCTTGGATGTGCGGATAGCATAATGGGCTTACGGCAGAATCACATTGAAACAGCAGTTACCATAAGATCACCGATGTTAAGCAACGTTGATTTTAGTCAGTAACTAGATGGGTGACCGCTTGGAAATACCAGCTAAGCTTGGATGCACGGATGGCATCATGTGCGGATGGTATAATGGGCTTACGGCAGAATCACATTGAAACGTTATTTCCCGTAAGATCACCGATGTTAAGCAACGTTGAGCCTAGTCAGTACCTAGATGGGTGACTGCTTGGAAATACCAGGTAAGCTTGGCTGTTCGGATGGTATAATCGGCTTACGGCAGAATCACATTGAAATATTATTTCCCGTAAGATCACCGATGTTAAGCAACGTTGAGCCTAGTCAGTACCTAGATGGGTGACTGCTTGGAAATACCAGGTAAGCTTGGATGTGTGAATGGCTTAATGAGCTTACGGCAGAATCACATTGAAACATTATTTCCCGTAAGATCACCGATGTTAAGCAACGTTGAGCCTAGTCAGTACCTAGATGGGTGACTGCTTGGAAATACCAGGTAAGCTTGGGTGTTCGGATGGCTTAATGAGCTTACGACAGAATCAAATTGAAACATTATTTCCCGTAAGATTACCGATGTTAAGCAACGTTGAGCCTCGTCAGTACCTAGATGGGTGACTGCTTGGAAATACCAGGTAAGCTTGGGTGTTGGGTGGTTAGGGCAGGATGAAACATTATTTTCGTAAGGGCTTAGGGTCAGTACCTAGATGGGTGACATTGGAAAAACCATTTGGATGTGTGGATGGCTTAATGAGCTTACGGCAAAATCACATTGAAACATTATTTCCCGTAAGATCACCGATGTTAAGCAACGTTGAGCCTAGTCAGTACCTAGATGGGTGACTGCTTGGAAATACCAGGTAAACTTGGATGTGTGGATGGCTTAATGAGCTTACGGCAAAATCACATTGAAACATTATTTCCCGTAAGATCACCGATGTTAAGCAACGTTGAGCCTGGTCAGTACCTAGATGGGTGACCATTTGGGAATACAAGCTGTGTAAGTTTGGATATGCTGATGGTGTGAAAGATAATGGCGTGAATTGTTAATCGCTGAACCTAATTCCAATTTTCAGTTGTTTTAGTTATATTTACTTATACGCAGCTAGACTTTGGAAAGGTATAAATCAACCCCGTCTCCCTCCTATCCATGGGTTAATTAGTAAGAATTTTATCACTAAAACCATTATTATCGAAAAAATTGATATAAAATATTTAGGTTTTGGCATTAAATAACCCATAGAGGTTGATATGCCGCTAAACAAAATCAACTGACCAACAATACCTATTTATAGTATATATTTAGTTGAAGCCATAAAATTTTGTTCAAAATATTTAGATTTCGGCATTAAATAACCCATAGAGGTTGATATGCCGCTAAACAAAAAAAAAAAAAAAAAAACAATAAAATACAATAAAACCAACCACATAAATTTTATTTCTTTTAGGAAAAATTATTGAGATTTCAGGCATTATTTTAAACATAAATGGGTGGGGTAGGCATCAAATCTACGTTACCAAACAATCATGGAATTTTGCCCCGTGAAGACAATGAGAAAAATGAAAGCTTTCTCAAAGCTTCCTATTAAATAAGCCATTCTATTAAATAATCCATTCTATAAAACTTGTTCTAGTAAATGACCCATTCTATAGAACTTGTTCTAGTAAATAAACCATTCTTTAGAACTCATTCTATTAAATAACCCATCTTATGGAACCCGTTCTATTAAATAACCTATTCTATAGAACCCGTTCTATTAAATAACCCATTCTATAGAACCTGTTCTAGTAAATAACCTATTTTATAGAACCCGTTCTATTAAATAACCCATTCTATAGAACCTGTTCTATTAAATAACCCATTCTATAGAACCCGTTCTATTAAATAACCCATTCTTTAGAACCCATTCTATGAAATAACTCATTCTATAGAACTCGTTCTAGTAAATAACCCATTCTATAGAACTCGTTCTAGTAAATAAACCATTCTTTAGAACCCGTTCTATTAAATAACCCATCCTATGGAACCCGTTCTATTAAATAACCTATTCTATAGAACCCGTTATATTAAATAACCCATTCTATAGAACCTGTTCTAGTAAATAACCTATTCTATAGAACCCGTTCTAGTAAATGAACTATTCTTTAGAACCCGTTCTATTAAATAACCTATCCTATGGAACCCGTTCTATTAAATAACCCATTCTATAGAACCCGTTCTATTAAATAACCCATTCTATAGAACCCGTACTATTAATGTTGTGGATTCCGTGACTGGAATCCTGCACAAATAAAGAAACAACGTTAGTAAATGAGATAGAAAAATAAGTGTATTCAACGTAAGAATAGAGACTTGAAGTGAAGATTAGTAGCCCAGGAATGCGGGCTAGTAGAAAGTATTTGTACAAGTCTGTGTAAGTAAAGCCGTAATCATCTCTTTTTCTGGACTCTCTGAGAACACCCTGTGTCTGTCTCCGTATCTCTCAACCTGTCTCAACGTATCTCAACGTATCTCAGTTATTTAATATTCCACCCACGAGGAATATATGTGGCACAAGGCCGAGTTTAAAGTGGGTTTCTCCGAGTCCTTAGGCTCGGGCAAAAATATACCCTTTGAACCCGCCGAGACGGGTTCAGGCTCTGTCTACCTCCCCTGAACAAAGCCTTGCCCTTCGGCAAAGCTTCGTCCGGGTTCCTCTCTGCCAAAGCAGAGAGTTCGACAGACTGTATCTCGACAGCAGGTATTCTTATGTAAAAAGGGGAGAACCCCACAGCAATTAAATAACCCACTCTATAGAAACTGTTCTATTAAATAACCCATTCTATAGAACCCGTTTTATTAAATAACCCATTCTATAGAATCTGTTCTATTAAATAACCCATTTCCTAAATTGAAAATGTGTATATTTTTTTTCAAAAGGAATATATTGATTTTCGGTTGAATATCTTCATCAAACGATATATCATAATTTGTTCTCAATTATCTGACGCGCAAGCAAACGCACTCTGCTACATTTTGAGAGAGTTGATTCTGCGCAAGTGTCAAGTGGAGGAACGTGGACAGAAAAGACATTTCTAATTTTTGAGATGTCACGAATTGAACCCTCCTTTTTTTTTTTTCTTTTTTAAATCCGTGTCACCCCATGCAAGGCAGTAAAGCCACTAAAAAAAAGAAGAAAAAAAAAAAAACATCGGTTAATGGTTGTGGAAGAATTAGGAACAGAAGCATTAATATATGAGTCGTAAGAGGAAAGAGTAGTCAGGAGGACAGCAGATAGCGATTGACATTGCATTTAATTTTTTTTTAAGATCAAAGTCGGCTGGAAAGCATGGAGACGGGAGGGTGTTCCACAAGCGAGAAGTGCGAGAAAAGAAACCTACGGCTACATGGCGCCAGTCCAACTGTAAATTGATGATAACTTGACCACAATCTAGTACTGCACTTAAATTCAAAAAGGCTAGAAACCATAGCGAAGAGCTCATAAGAACAATTACCGTGGAAGCATTTATAGAAAAAGCACAGGGAGGCAACTAAATGGCGATGGGAAAGAAACTGAAGCCGAGCTACCAGATCAGGACCAATAATATTGCTGATTCTTCTTTGGATTTTATCAAGGAGTTCAAGGTAAATAGCAGGGGCAACGGACCGTATGTGGCAGTAATAGCCTAATCATGGACGAATGTTAGACTTATAGATATGTAAGATAGATTCTGAGGAGAAAAATTGTGTCGCACGATACAGTGAACCAACTTACTTAACAGTAACATTTTTTATGAATTCTTCTCATATTTGTTTTGACTTCGATCAAGGGGCATCGGTTTATAACGAATTTACATGGCGAACGGAACACGCTATTAACCTTTACAAAATTTAAAAAGGAAAAATGTCACCTGGATTGTTTAATCTATCGTAATACGAAAAAAACATTGACAAAAGACATGATTAATTCTAACTGCAGTTCATAATGTAAGAAAAACTGAAAATAAATTTCTCAGCATTTGTTTTAAATGTTGAATATAGATAGCTCCGATCTCCTTCTCCTTAGGTATGGGTAAAATGGCGTAGCAGACTAAACACTGTAGCAACCAGTCTCTATAGAAGAGTGTTTCTCAACATTTTTAAACAACGGAATACCTAAAAGCAAACGAAAATATCACGACATAGTTAGTGATTGCTCCAGTGTAAATGACGGCTTCTATCCATGTCACTTTTCTGTCAGTCACGGTACCATATCCGGTAACAATATGACCTTAACTTTTAAATTCAAACTTCTGTAGGCCAATAGTTGATTACCCTTTGTTCTTCCTATTCACTGTTTCTCAAGCATTTTAAGCAACGAAATAGCTAGAAGCAAACAAAAAATATCACGGCGTACTTAGTGATTGCTACAATGTAAGTGGCATGGCGGGTTCTATCCATGTCACAATAAAAATATTTAAAAAAAAAAAAAACAACAGAGAGCCAACCTTACGGCCTTGGGAAATTGAATGAAGCCGAGCCGTCAGATCATGACCAATAATATTGCTGATTCTTCTTTGGATTTTATAAAGGAATGTAGATATATATCAGGGACACCGGATCCTATGTGGCAGCAATATTCTAAGCATGGACGAATTGTAGACTTATAGATATGTAAGATAGATTCTGGAGAGAATAAATTGTCTTGCCCGACACAGTGAACCGACTTTCTTAGCAGCTGACCTAGCAATGGATTCAATATAGTTTTCTCATTTCATGTCAGCTGAGAACTTGAGACCCAGACACAACGAGTCACTTTCCCGGTGGTTAGCATCAGCCATGTTGATTTTTAGCAACACCGCTCTACAATTTTACACGCTTCACAAGAGGTGCTGATCCTTGTCTTGCATATGGAGTGTGTGCGTCTCACTCTATTCTTAAATATTATCGAAGGCACAAACAGAAGTAGAAAATCTGCGGTGGAACATCCTGTTGAACCCTGAAATATCGAAAACGATTATTCCCATATCTTTCTCTCTCTCTCTCTCTCTCTATATATATATATATATATATATATATATATATATATATATATATATATATATATGTAATTTAAAGAAAAAAACAGACCACTTTAAGGCTCCATTTTAATAATTTATTTATTGCCAGAGAATTTATTTTTTCTCTGGATCTTTAGACTTCATTTTCAAAAGGTGAAACGAAAAATGAATTTAAAATTTACACTTTTGACGGGCAGTATTAAGCTTATATAATTTGACATAAAGGGTGGTGAGGAATAGTATGAGAGACATGGTCGAGTTTAGAGAGGGAAGGGAGAGTTTTAAAATTTATTTTTATATTTCTTTTTATTGTAATACTTAATATTGAGGAACGAAGGGGGTAAAGATCAGACATTGACCTATTTAATCGGTTAACTCAACGGAAATGATATGGGAAAAGGAAAAGGAGAAAAAAGAGGAGAAAGAAAAAAAGGTGGAAGTAATTATTCGCTCTCATTGAGCTCTCAGGATTTTATCCTCCTTGGGATTATCCATACGAATTACCAAGATTTTCATTACTTACATATATATATATATATATATATATATATATATATATTATAATTAAAAAAAAAAGTAAAATATATATGGAATATATAGTTATACAAATATTCTAATCCGAACACGCCTTTAGAGTGAAATATACAAATTTAAAATAAAATGCCGAAAAAACGTTTTGTCGTTGAAAAAACAACAACAAATAAACATACGACATGCGTTGAATGGATGTTATAATTCGTTTAACCCTACCTACACTTAACCTCTTTTTCGAAAGTAACTCATAACTGATACAATAATAGTTAATAAAAATGAAGGTGCACCTGTCTGATCAGTCTCAAATAT